AAAGTTTGCAAAACCCAAGAAGTGTTGTAGCTGCTTATGTGTAGCTGGAGTGGGCCATGTCCGAACTGCTTCGCTCTTGTCGGGGTCTGTCTTCAGCCAACCGCTCTCCAGAACAAAACCCAGGAATTGATGTATAGACGGTTTTCGAGAAGTCGTTGAAGCACAGCTCGGACATGTTGATGGTGTTCAGTGAGTGATCTAGAAAAAATCAGAATATCGTCCAGGTAAACAGTGACAAACTTGTTGATGTAATCACCCAAGACAGAGTTCACAAGCGATTGGCAGACTGCGGGGGCATTAGTGAGTCCAAACGGCATGACCAGATATTCGTAATGTCCCAGAGGGGTCTTGAAGGCTGTCTTCCACTCATCCCCCTCACGGATTCTCATGAGGTGGTAATCGTTCCGCAGGTCTAGTTTGGTAAAAAATAGGGGCATCGTTAACAGGGTCGAAAGTTGATGAAAGCAGTGGTAATGGGTACTTGTTTTTGATTGTGATGTGGTTCAGTCCTCGGTAGTCAATGCAGGGACGCAGGGATCCATCCTTCTTAGATACAAAAAAAAACCTGCACCCAGGGGAGACGTGGAAGGCCTTATAATGCCTGCAGACAAGGACTCAGAAATATATTTAGCCATGCTTTCCTGTTCAGGCTTGGATAAATTGTATAGACGGCTTGAAGGCTAAACGGCATCAGGAATGAGATCAATACTACAATCATAGGGTCTGTGGGACAAACACAATGGGCTCCAGGCAGCGACCAACCCTGTCCTCCAGTTGATGTGGGGATTATGAGTGACCAGCCATTCATGACCTAGGACGACTGGGGACTGTGGAGAAGGGAACACGAAAAAACTCAGTACCTCATGGTGATTTCCAGAAACCAACAGATTAACTGGAACCGTGCGATGGCTTATGGTGGTGAGAGAACTCCCATCTAGTGAAGAGGCCTTTAAGGGCAAAGAGAGGGGAACAGTGGGGATGTTGAGCTGCTGCACCACTGTTTGGTCCAAAATGCTCCTCTCACAACCAGAGTCCAACAAGGCATTGAAGAAAAAGTCTTTTGGTTGTAGGTGATTGAACAAGTTAGAGCGCACCGGGAATTTAGGTTACTTGCATTTCCACCCACCAGTCATCCCAGTTCTACTGGTGGGCAGCGGTTTTTGGCCAAACCGGACAGGTCGGGACAAAGTGGCCTGACTGACCACAATACAGGCAAAGGCCGGAAGAGTGGCGTCTTTGTTTTTGCTCAGGAGTCGATTGCGCCCTTCCTATTTGCATCTGTTCATCTATTCCTGTAGGAAGGGAGGTTGGTTGTGGTGTTTGGTGGGCACGTTGGTGTGGAACAGTAACCGGCGGGGATCTGAACCAGTTGGTCTTTTGTTTCTCCTTAAGACGCTTCTCATTATTGGTGGCAATAAGCTAGCTGATCTTTGGTTCGTTCAGTTAAGGCTTGAGAGAAGGCGGCTTTGAGTGAGGCCTAATCAAGTGTGGAAACCGAATCGAAGGTTCAAAACTCGATGGCAAATTCTGTGATGGTTTGTTTTCCCTGCTGCAAATTCCAAATATGCTTAGCCAATTCAGCAGGGGATTCAGCGTGGTCAAAAGGCTTCTTAAACTTGGTTAAAAAGGCTGAGAGAGGTCTGGGCAAGAAGCTAGCCTGGCAGCTCTTGGTCTCAGCCCATTGCAAGGCCTTACCCCGGAGCAAACCAACTATAAACAACATCTTTACCGTGTCATTAATAAAAGTTTCAGAAGATCGTTCAAACACTAACTGGCAAAGTAATAAGAAACAATGACAATTACCTGGTTCGCCGAAAAATGTGTCAGGTTGTAGAGATTTGGCGACCTGGAAACCAACCCCAAGCTGTGGAACCGGAAGAGACGACTGGGACGGCGCTGCAGAAGTAGCGGTAGACAGAGGTGTAGCATTAAGTGCGTCGTTCATCTGGCGAAGTGCGGTATCAAGCTGGAATAAACGCTGATTGGTAGAGGACAACTGATCAAGCACAGTCTGAATGGAAATCTTGTGTTTTGCTAGGGTATTAGCGACGGCAGGCGGAAGTTCCATGGGGATGGACTTTTGGCTAGTCTATTCTGTCATGTTTGTGGGAAGCAGTTTCACCCAAGACGTGAAAGAATCACTCTACGGAGACAGGGTAAGTGAAAATCATATAATAATCTTTATTAAGAATGGTGAGTAAAACTAAGGGTGCTGCTCCAAACGGGAACAGGATGAACCGGAATGGTTCATGACCAGGACTGGTGAGGATGAACTGGGTCAGGTCTGGGAACAAGGGGATTGCTGGGTCTTTGGGACCGTGTGGAACTGGAGGAATGGCGGGAGTTCAGATCCAGGACTAGGTTGGGAAGCAGGCTGGGAGGCAGATTGAGAGGCTGACTGAGAGGCAGGCTGGAAGGCTGGCAGTAAGGCAGGCTGTGAGGCAGACAGGACAACGGGCGGACGGTGGAGAGCGGAGGCCAGAGGATCTTTGAGCGACGTGACGTTGGCAGACAACTCCAGGTGACGGTAGGTTCTCTCTGAAGACAAAACGAGCAGGAACTTTCAGGACTTGACAACAAGCAGACCAAGACTAAGACTGGAGCAGGCAGACTAAGACTACGACTGGCTAGTAGTTACCCAAGGTGAGAGTATCAACCGGCACTGGAGTTGTGTCACACCGCTCCTTAAATACCCCTGGCTCTCTGATCAGGGAGCTCAGGCAGAGTTGGCTCTCTGACACGCCCACCTGTGAACGCAAACCTGAGACAACTGCAGCATATTGACTGTTACTGGGAATGATCATGGCAGACCATGACGCTGATCTGCGGTCACATGTCTTGGACACTCGGGTGAAGAGAGGGGCGGAGCTGTGAACTGACCATGTGGACTACAGATGCAAATTAGCAACTATGCTATAATCTGGCCCATTTACGATCGATACAATGTATTTGATTGTTTATTAATGTGCATTGTCCTGAATAAAGAATTGAATTGAATTGAATTGAACTTGGTTGGTTGTTGGCTTTGATAGTGGGGGAGGATGCTGGTCACACCTGGCAGGCTCAAAGGTATTGTGAGGGTCTGCTTGGGTGTCTGCTTTTTGCAGAGGATTGTGGTCATGTTGGCTTCATCAGACTAGGATCTCTGGCTTTCGCTGGAGCGGTTCACAGCAGCGTGTGAAGCGGCTGGGCTGAGAATCAGCTCCTATAAATCCAAGACCATGGTCTCCAAGTGGAGGAGTTTAAGTATCTTGGGGTCTTCAAATCAAATCAAATCAAATCAAATCAAATCAAAGATACTTTATTAATCCCAGAGGGAAATTAGAGTTTTAGTACACACAATTCAGAGAACAGACATACATGGGCAAGACACATGACAAGAATTGGTGACTGTGGTCATTCGCAACCCTGAGTCGCGCTACCTTAATAGAGATAAAAGGGTTACATGAGGATTGGTTCAGGTGGAAGGGAAAAAAGGCACTTCTAAGTTACCCTCCCACCAGGAGGATAGTGTAGCGGAATATAGTTGGTATATTCTTACACTTTTGTTAAGGTCCAGAGATTAATCTTTGGACCGAGCCCTTAGGATCAAAAGAGGTTGTTTTTACTTCAGGGAGTTTTATTCAAACACTTTGTATTGAATTAGAGACAATAAAAGAGAGAGATGGGACGTTTAAGAATATTTATTTTATAATTATTCGAAACAATCTCCAGGACTAACTCTCTAATGATGGATGCAGATGAATGTGATGCTGGCGTGTTGGTGTGGGTGTGTGTCAGTTCAGAATCTCCATCTGATGGCGGCGAGTCTGAGTGTAAGATGTTGTTTTGTCTAGCTGACCACGAGATATTTCAGGAGTAAGACATGAGACGCCATCTGTGCCGATCTACGTACCGTTCGGAGACTCCCGTGTAAGATCAGGAATGCCAGGTCCTCGGACCCTCCTTTGGTGCTGGAACTGATAGCACAGCGTCTGCAGCACGACAAACCAGTCTACGGATCGACTCCCGGTAGCAACGGCAGGTGTCCGCGTCACGTAGAGAGTTCAGCTTTTATTCTGAAGGAACCGTCGTCTTGTTGATGAAACGACAGAATTTTCCAGCTTGACAGTTCTCAGCTTAAAAGTAGAAAATACAGCTGGCCAGTCTGTACTTCACTTAGCGATGATGGATCTGAGAGCTGGTCGAGTACTTGGTTGGAACCAAGTTGAACTACGTTGAAGAGCTTCATTGGAACTGAAGTTAAAATGGCGTTGTTCTGTTTTATTAGACTTAGTTGTTTATGATTCCTAGCGAATCGGAGTGGACAGATTAACTAAACACCACAGAACTCTGCCACGCATCAGAAAGGAAGTTCTGATTGGATGAGTGAACAATGTCATGTGTTTACCTTCTGTGGATCAGGATGTCTAGCTCACAGTCCTGTTATTCATTAAACACATAAAGCATAACATTGTGATTTCACAGATCGGTCACCTGATTATTATTGACCAACAGTTGTTTTGATTAGCTTTATTAGAAATAAAGTTCTTTGATTAACTAATGAAAAGCATTCTTCGTCCTTCTTCTGTCTTCTTTGCTGGAATGTAAACATCAAAAACAAGCGCACGACCTTGGCAATTTATGCACACTGTCACTGTGTCAAAGGGCAGCTGTTAAGGGCAGAAAATAGCATGTTCATAACGCTACAGCAGATTTGCTCTGCAAAAAAACACCTCAGACAGAGATACGCAACAGACTTCAGACAACACAACATAAGTGTCCACTAGGTGGGGTGATGGGTTGGGACTATCCCAACTTCAGTTCCTGCATCCACGATGAAGGGAGGGACTATGTCTCTCATCTGGCCAGGGAACGCCTTGGGATTCCCTTAGAGGAGCTGGCCCAGTGATCATTTGTAGCCAAAATAAAATGTTGAGTTCTGCTGAAGCTGTTTAAATAGAATGTATTTTTTCATAACATTAAAGCATTTTCTAACAGTTTTTCCTTTCTTTTTTCAGAGACAAAGACAACACCATACACAAGCAATGTAGAGTTCACCCCTGAAAGGGCAAACCTACTGAATGGGTCGAGGTCACTGAGTTTAGACAACAAAGAAAACGAGTCCCACATAAGAGAGATAGCTGATCTCAAGTCAGAGATAAGAAGGAAAGAACAGATCATCTGTGATCTCAAGAAACAAATCTCATCTCAGCAGAGATGTCCTCTCCTCCAGGTCCACCAGCCAACAATGATCCAGAACTCTCAATCTCCCCACCAACCTCTGGATTCTAACCAAACCAAACCAACACAAACTGCTTCTAAACCATTCAAATTGGCCAAATCCCACCAAAAGAATGGGTCCAAATGTGGGAACGAAAAACAAAAGAATCCAGGATTCCAGAAATATTCCCGTAAATGCAACAATCTGGATCTGGAGCCTTTGGTCCCTCCAGATTCTCCAGTCAGTGATCAGTCTGCAACACAAGTCCACATTCGTTCTTTCAGCGAGCCAGTGTCTCACAACACCGACGTCCTTCAGCTCAAACATTCCTCAAGTCTTCTATCATACCAGAACCGTTCAGTCCTCTGATGGATGCAGGTGGAGAGATGTGATGTGGACATCAGCAGCATCAAGGACTAAGGTGATGGGCTTTTGGTAAACAAGGTGAAATTGATGAAATGATGTGATATTTTATTGGAAATTTAAGTAAAATGAATATTTTTATGCTAAACTAAAATAAGTGGTGGTGAATATTGACCCAGATCAAGAAAACAGGAGAGAACCACAGGATGACTTCAGCTCTTGTCTCCTTAAGGCCTCAGGCTCTGATTGGTCAGCAGGACCTGACTGCAGCCTTTGACACTGTTGACCATCACCTGCTATTGGAGAGGCTGAGAGACTGGGTAGGCCTATCAGGAACTGCTCTGGAGTGGTTCTCCTCTTATCTTGCTGAGCGCTCCTTTTCTGTGGCCGTCTCCAAGTTTAGGTCCTCCACCACCTCTCTTACCCATGGTGTCCCACAAGGTTCTGTGCTGGGGCCCCTGCTCTTCCTCTTCAGCACATCCTGAGCTCCTTCAAAGGAATCTCCTACCATCTTTATGCAGATGACATCCAACTGCACATCTCCTTTAAGCCCCATGAGATGTCTAAGCTGCAGGTGTTACACACCTGCTTAGACTCTATCAAAACCTGGATGGCTGGGAGCTTTCTACAGCTGAATGAAGATAAGACTGAGATCCTCATCTGTGCCCCAGACAAGCTGGTTCCCAAAGTCAGAGACTCTCTTGGTCAGCTTGCTTCTCACACCTAAGCTTCTCTCAGGAATTTTGGCGTGACCTTTGACCCAGCTCTCACCCTGGATTCCCAAGTCAGTTCTCTTGTTCGCTCTTCCTTCTTCCATCTGAGGAACATTGCTAAGCTGAGTCCCATTCTGTCCCGCTCTGAACTTGAGACAGTTATCCACACCTTCATCTCCTCATGCTTAGACTACTGTAACTCTCTTTTCACGTGTCTGAGCAGAACCTCCCTGAACCGTCTACAGGTGGTTCAGAATGCCTGTGCTTGGCTTCTGACCAAGTCCTCCAAACACACCCACATCACCCCGCTTCTCCTCCAGCTTCACTGGCTGCCAGTCAACTTCAGGGTTCATTTCAAGATCCTGGTTCTGGTCTATAGGGCCTTACATGGACAAGCACCATCTTACATTGGTGATCTTCTAAGTCCCTACACCCCCAGCAGGTCCCTGAGGTCCAGTGATCAAAGCCTACTGGTTGTGCAGCACCAGGCTAAAGACCAAAGGTAACAGATCATCTGCAGCTGCCAAATTCATTTGGTTCTGTGTGGCTTTGCACGGGCACTAAGGTATGTTGTAAGGTTTTTTATGTCATGAAATAAAAGATCGGGACAAATGAAGAACTTTATGTTTAAAAATGATGCCTTAAGACTTAGATTTTTCAGTTTCACACATTTAAAAATATCAAAGTGGGATAAAAACACATTTACTACAATGATTAATGCTAAAATTAGCTATGCTGGTTCAAAAATTAAAGCTCTTTGCTCCTTTCCTTGAATTTGTATTCATGAAATGTTTTAATGTCAAAGTGAAGCTTTGGCTCATTTGTGAAGCCACCAGTGAGCGGACTTGGGTATTTAGGGGAGAATCAGAGTATTTTTACCTCTGCTTTTATAAATAGTGTACAGAAGTTTTTCTATATTTCTGTAAATATGAACTCGTTCATGAACTCGTTGTGTTTTGTTGTTTTTGACTCGGAAGTTCTGGATCCAGATCCTGAAAGGTTTTAGTCACTTTAGTCATCTGTAGCAGGAAATTCTAGCATTGATTTAATCTAATTGTTTACGGTTTCTGTTTATCTTCTTATTTGAAAGTTATTTTTATTGTTTAATCTCATACTAAAGCACATGCTGAGTATATATTTGTTTTTTTCATCAAACCTTCTTTATTGCAATCTTTCTTTCATGATTATTTTGTTTTCTTGGTGTTTTGGTCTTTCACACCATGCTCTGGTTTTGTTACCGCCATCATTCTGACCTAAGCTCAGAGGGGTGATACACTTCTCTCCTGACAACGAACACAAAGATGGAGCAAATTTCTGATGTGAACAAACTTTAACCCTCCCACTGTCCTAATGGGTGTGACCCCGTGAGGAAAGTTGACCATTGAGCAGGGTTGATGGTTTATCCCTTGGGTCCACGTGGCAGCGGTGAGGAGTGAGCACCACCTCACCCGTGAGTAAAACATGAGAAAAGCCTAATGATTAGCATCTGTGTCTTTTTTACATGCTGCTACTAGTTAGCTAACAGTATTATGACCAGTCACAGCAGAGGAGAGCTGTTTAGCCAAGTGTTTAGCTCCACCCACAGGAAACCTTCCTGCTGTCTCCATGGAGACCATTCAGCCTGTTCAAGAGGATGGTGACCTCACTGCTGATGTCACCACTGAGTGCTGCTTCTGACGGATGCTTTAATTCAACAACGTGTCATTTTTACTCAAACAGAACCGGTTGGAACCCACACTTCAGGTAGGCCTACCTACAACAGGCCGACGGGAGACTTTGTCCACAAGGCAGAGGTCTTCAATCCGCGGAGTTTCTGGAGTTTTCATCAGTTTGTTCACTTCCTACTGCTGTTATGGTTCACTTCATGACGCCATGATGGGATGGGAAACTTCCAGTGACAACGTCCAATTGTTTGTTGTTTCTGATGATCTGTTGTTGTTCCTTGGTGATTATGAGTCAACGAGCAAAACGAAAACACAATACGATTCAAACATCAGTTTGTGTAAAAATCTGACAGATTTTTACCCGATGACTCATCCTAACTGTCAGAGCTGAGCTCTTTCAGATGTTTTGGCTTTTCTCCTCAAAAGCTGAGTCATCATGGCGCAACACATTCATGAGTCCGGGCAAATGCACAAATTAATAAATGTCCTGTTTAAAAATCCAGAGAGTAACACACTTACTGCAAACAATAAACAACAGTTTGTTCTTAGTGCAGAAAAAACTGCTGAAGCACCAAAGAAACATTATTTGAACTCATTTAAAGGATTTGAGCTGTTTTTATGACTGGCTGATGCGTGAAGGTAATTTTAACAGATCAACAGATTTTGTTGTTTTAGTATAATAAAGATAATCTGAATGACTATTGGTGTGGTTTTGTGTAGACTGACTTGTTTTATATCCTGTCGCTGAACTTAATGACGTCACCTCATGTCGTGTGCTGACAAAATCATCTGGAAAGTCCCTCAAGTTCTACTGAGATCTGGGCTCACGAGCACAGAAAGCGTTTTTACTCTGGTTACATTTGAGATTAAAGACTATATTTAACAAACACATCTGAAAACTATTACCTGATGGAGTCACTTTGTAGATAGTTTTATTGTATTAGGGAGAGAAGCTGTAGAAAGACATTTCTCCGATTTCCCTGAATACACCGTTAAGCCACGCCCCCCAAAAGCAGAACTTACGGGTTTAGGGAATGAAGTCTGGTCAGACTCTGCTGTAGTGAACTCTTTCCTAGCAGAGAGAAATGGGTCTAAATCAGCTGGTGACGAGGTTTTCTCTTTTATCTGTTCTTGGACTTTTTTCGTTTAAAGGTACGTGTGAAGTAAAATCCTTACAGTTTGGTTTAATGTTTGGTTCTGCATCTACTCTCTTCCATCTCCTCCCATCTGGCAGGCGCTACAGATCGCTGTACACAAAAACCACCAGACACAAGAACAGTTTCTTTCCTTCAGCCATTTCTCTCCTGAATCTGTAGATTCTTTTACCATCCTTTTACTATAGTTTTTAATACTAATTCAGTATGCTTATGGATATGTGTGTGTGTGTGTGTGTGTGTGTGTGCGTGTGTGTGTGGGTATGTATGTGTGTAAATGAACATGTGTGTGGGTATACATGTTCTTATGTGTTTTTAGGTATTTTTATTCTCATTTATTGAGGTTGTTGTATGTTTTAGAGAGCGAACATCTACCGAAGACAAATTCCTTGTAAATGTAATTTTACTTGGCCAATAAATCTGAAATCTGATCTGAATCTAATGGTTGAGTTAAACTACTTCCCTTTTTGAATGAGCTGTAATCTGGGTTTTCTTTCCTGTAATCTGAGCCTGACCAAACCAATGACCTATCAAAATAAAGGTCTCAGAAGGTCTTTGATGGTGCAGGCAGAACCAAAACAATGATCCGGATTCAACACTCAAGATTCAGAGTCATTTATTAATGACCACACAACAAGTTGGTGGAACTTGTTTCTGGTGCAGCTTGACATGCTCACAGCTCTGTGACGTCACAATGTCACAAAAATAAACAGGCAGGGATATACACAATTATTAAACATCTCATTGATTTAATGACTGTATCACTCTTGGGAAAAAACTAAATCTAGTTGATTTTGTTTGTGAAGACCTGTATAGTGTTGCAGAAGGCAATAGTGTGAACGGAGGATGTGCAGGGTGAGAAGCGTGTGAGGGAACTTTTCCTGCCCGTTGTATGATGCATCCATGGTACAGGGTGTCAGTGGAAGGTTGAGTACGGCCAACGATCTTAGATAATTTAACTAAATTAGGTTTATCGAAGAATTCGAGTCCAAATGACCATACCAGACTTTTAAAGATGAGGTGAGTATACTTTGAAGGATGGCGGTATAGAAATGTACAAGGATGCTGTGCCTTACTCTAAATGATTTTAGTTGTCTGAGAAATGATATTTTATTGGCTTTTTATAAATCTGTTCTGAATGTTGTTTCCATTCATGGGAGTTACTAATGTTTGTGCCTAGAAAAAAAACTGATATGTTACGTAGAGGAATTCCTCGCCACGTCTTCCATCCATCTTGCTGTTCCTTCTGCCCGTCTCACTACCATGGGGAGCCACTCTGCTCCCCATCTCAGGAACTCACTCCCCCAGACACCAGGAACATCACCAGTTTTACCCTTTTCAAAACCAAACTCAAAACACACATGTTTAAATCTGCCTACGACCTCTGATTTTATTGAACTGTTTCTCTCTTTGTTTTATCTTCTTTGCGTTTTATTGTGGTTTTATTGCTGTTTTAATGTATTTTCTGTCAAGTGACCTTGGGTGTTCTGAAAGGTGCTTTTAAATAAAATGTATTATTATTATTATTATTATTATTATAAGGTGGAGAAACGAGATTCTCCTGGGTGAATCACGCATGCTAACAAGTCAACCAAAGGAACATCCCCATGGCCAAGTAGCCAGGGCTTGTCATCAATTAGGATACAGTGACAGGATGCTCAACCTGTAACACACGCTTTTATTTTGATAGGATGCCCGAACCTAATAGCAGTCTCTAGAGCAGGATGGCTAATCATTTGGTATTAAACTGCTGCATTTGTATTCACATTTCAGCGTTTAGATGTTACGCTCTAGTATTTGGTAGCTAGCCATACACAGTATTATTTTGTAAATAAAAGGGAAAGTTACAGGAAAAGAAAACACTATTGAGCGACACAGCATCAGAATACTCCAGTAGAGAGTATTGGTTCTACTGGTTTTAATGGTCCAACCCAACTGTGTTTATTAGATCTTTAAAACACCTGTGCTTCCCCAAGACGTCAGTCAGGACCATGAGGAAAGTTTGTTTATGTCTAGCAACAACATCAAAGATTCCCGAGCCTTTTATAAATGCCGATACTGTTTTGATCTGATAACAGGATGTAGTTAACTACTGATGCTACAGCTGAAACTACAGCTAATACTACAGGTAGTACTGCAGCTAAAATTACAGGTAGTACTATAGCTAATACTACAGGTAGTACTACAGCTAAGACTACAGCTAATACTGCAGTCACAGGTAATACTGCAGGTAATACTGTATCTAATACTAGAGGTAATACTACAGTTACAGGCAATACTACATCTAATACTACAGGTAATACTATATCTAATACTACAGGTATTACTACAGGTAATACTACATCTAATACTACATCTAATACTACATCTAACACTACAGGTAATACTACATCTAATACTACAGGTAATACTACAGTTACAGGTAATACTACATCTAATTCTACAGGTAATACTACAGTTACAGGTAATACTACATCTAATTCTACAGGTAATACTACAGTTACAGGTAATACTACATCTAATACTACAGGTAATACTACAGTTACAGGTAATACTACATCTAATTCTACAGGTAATACTACAGTTACAGGTAATACTACATCTAATTCTACAGGTAATACTACAGTTACAGGTAATACTACATCTAATACTACAGGTAATACTACAGTTACAGGTAATACTACATCTAATACTACAGGTAATACTACAGTTACAGGTAATACTACATCTAATTCTACAGGTAATACTACAGTTACAGGTAATACTACATCTAATTCTACAGGTAATACTACAGTTACAGGTAATACTACATCTAATTCTACAGGTAATACTACAGTTACAGGTAATACTACATCTAATTCTACAGGTAATACTACAGTTACAGGTAATACTACATCTAATTCTACAGGTAATACTACAGTTACAGGTAATACTACATCTAATTCTACAGGTAATACTACAGTTACAGGTAATACTACATCTAATTCTACAGGTAATACTACAGTTACAGGTAATACTACATCTAATTCTACAGGTAATACTACAGTTACAGGTAATACTACATCTAATTCTACAGGTAATACTACAGTTACAGGTAATACTACATCTAATACTACAGGTAATACTACAGTTGCAGGTAATAATACATCTAATACTACAGGTAATACTACAGTTACAGGTAATACCACATCTAAAGAAAAATGGGAGGTGGCCACCACCGCCATTTTGACCGTGTCACAGGTTCCGTCAAGCCCAGACAATTCCAAAAAAGGGAAGTGAGGAGGAGCTGAGGGTGGGGCTGTAAGGCTGGGATCGACTGACGACACCCGGTCGAACTAGCTACAAGCTAACCTGAAGCTAACCCAAAGCTAACGCGGAGGTGGGAGCTAAACTAACGGAGGTAGCAACCTAGCTACAACCGGAGTTAACTGTGCACAACACCAGAGCTTCTGAGTCAAAGATACGCCGGGCTGACCGCTGGGTAAAACCGGATGAACACAGAGGTCTCGGAGACCTTCACAAGCTGGCAGCCGCACAGCAGACAAGCGCCGCTGCGATCTGAGATGCGCAGAGCTGCCGCTGGGGAGAACCGGGTGGAAAGGTTTCCATCCCAGAGCTCCACAAGCCGGCAGCCCGCGCAGCAGACAGAAGCCGCGATTAGACAGAGATGCGCCGAGCTGCGGGGAGGGGAGAACGGGTGGAAAACATCGGTCTCCCGAGAGCTCCACAAGCCGATAGTCGGAACCCAGCTCCACCAACATGTTATATTTCAACCCATTTTCTAAAGTGCAGCATTATGTTAAATGCACTGGGTTTTACCCTATTACATTTACATTTCATGGTTAAACAGTACATGTTAAAATCTAAGCTCAGCTCGGCAGTGACCTAAAATACATAAATATAATTTTACTTACCGGAAAAAATGAAGTGGAGACTCCTTGGACGCTCTATTAGTGTCACGATCTGCCCCTGCCTTCCTGACTGTGTTCCTCTCCTGCCCTGATTAGCCCTTATTGTTCTCACCTGCCCCTCGTTAACCTGCCCATGTGTTCCTGATTTCCCTGTGTATTCATACCTCCCTCCTTGTGCCAGTCTTTGTCAGATCATTGTTGTTTGTCATGTTGTTCTCGTTGTTCCTGCCGTATCCTGTCATTAAACCCATTTTTACTTTATCCGTGCCTGCATTCCTGCCTCCTGGTCAGCTCCACCACACTTGGTCCATCATCTCCACCATCACAACACAACAATTAGTGCAATTAATGCCACAGCAAGTCATTTTGTTTGCACAATTAATTGCACAAATAATATCCAAAACAGAAGACAAACACAGAGACTCAAAATGCCGGAGCAGTTTCTAAGCCAGACCGAGGCTCTACTGAGGCCTTTCCACGGAGCTAGCTCTGTGGTCACGTGGGTCGGATGCTCATTAATTATACAGAATTTTAGGCTTTTAATACACTTAAACAGAAGAGTGAGAAAAAAATTCACCCCCCTCAGAGTTGTCATGAGTGTAAACTAGATCATTTAAACCAAAAAACATGTTTTGGTACCTGTTGGATAAAAATTGTGGTAATCAAACAGAGTTTATCATCGTTATTTACATTTAAATTAGTAATGCCTCCCTCCTGCAGCTAATCAAGGCCAGACTGGACGTCTCCATGGTCCGGCTGTGAAACCTCTTTGAAGTATTCCCTTTTGTCTTCCGTGATAAGTAGGTGTGGTTATCTCTGGTGATGTGATTCCCAATAAAAGCTCTCGACAGCTTTACCTCTGTGTGAGAACAAACCGCCTCTGACTCTGGTGTGTATGTTTCACCCTTTGCAAAGTTGAATTTGTTGATTATTGAATGTATGCTGATTATAATTAACCAAACTATTAATCTAACCCCTCTGTGTATGCTCTGACTTTCTTTGAGGTAATTTTGGGAGTAATATAAAATTATCCAACAGTACCAGGCTGTAAACATGTTTATTTCTGCTGTGAAATTGGTATTTTTAACATGGGAGTCATGGTTTAACACGGGAGTCTGTTATTTTTTTTGTTGTATTTCCTTTTTATCTTTTATCTGTGTTCGACATGTTTATATAACGCCTGTTTAATTAACTAACATTTTTAGTGTACAGCGCCTTGTTTGGTTGTAATGCCTTGTGAATGCGCTTTATAAATAAAATTGGATTGGATTGGATTGGGAGTCAATGAGGATTTGCTCGCTTCTGACACCAGCCCCTAGTGGATGAGGGTGGAACTGCAATTTTTGTCACTTCCGCGTTTGCTTCAATTTTTCACCCGCATTGTGGGGGCTTGGTTAGAACACGTAGCAGATCTTTATCAGAGGAGGAATCTCAGGGCTCATCTCATTAATGCCTGCAGGCTGGTGAGTGGTTTAGACAGGCTGTCTGATCACGAGGAAAAGTACAAGATTGCACAATTGTGTGTGTGTGTGTGTGTGTGTGTGTGTGTGTGTGTGTGTGTGTGTGTGTGTGTGTGTGTGTGTGTGTGTGTGTGTGTGTGTGTGTGTGTGTGTGTGTGTGTGTGTGTGTGTGTGTGTGTGTGTGTGTGTTTGGGTGAAAGAAAATTCCTAAATGTTCAGGATTGTGTTTTAATCTCTACATTTTCTATCTTTGCTATAATTCTCCAGCTTATCCCACCGCTCATGCTGAGCCGGTCGTGGCCTCTGCTGGTCAGAGTGTGATCCTGCCCTGCAGTGTGAAGATCTCAGCCACAGATGACATCCAAACAGTGGAGTGGTCCAAGACAGACCTGCAGCCAGTCGTAGTCTTCTTGTACCGCGACGGCTGTGAGACCTTTGAGATGAAGGATCTGGACTTTGCGTATCGGACCAGTCTGATCATGAGAGAGATGAAAAACGGGAATGTCTCCTTAAGGATCTCCAACGTGAAGCTGTCTGATGCAGGAACGTACCGATGCCTAAAGATCCTGAAGAATGGCACCAGAGAGGAGAGCAGCGTGGAGCTGGTTGTTGGTACGTCGTCTGGTTCATGTGTAAACAGAACCGACACTCGGAGCTCCTTTATGTGAACGAAAGATCTGCAGAGATGAGTTTTCTTCTCATGAACCTAATCTAATAAACCAAAACTTATTTTTTCTGCTTCTGTTAACAAGAAGCTCCAGATTTAATCTGACTACCATGTGGAGCCATTCAGAGCTCACAGCTTCTATTGATCTTGTTTCTACAGTTGCAGCGTCTGACCTGAAGTTGGCGCTGCTTTCTGCTGACACCATAGAAGTGACTGTGGAGTGTGAGGCCAGGTGCTGGTGGCCGTCTCCACAGATGATGATCCAGGATGAAAATGGAAACAACATCACTGATAAAAAACCCAGAGAAGAGCAAACAGGAGGATGCTTCAGCGTGAAACACAGAGTCAAGCTGCGGAATCACACCAGCAGGTACCAGAGAGGTTCTCAGCAGATCCTTTAGTGTAGGAACATCAGAACGTCCATCCTGGGTGGAAGGAAATGAATACATCCCATAATTCTTTAAAAATTCTAGTTTATGTCAGAAATCTATTCTATTCTATTGAGTCCTATGAAGTCTTCCTGCAAGAACATTTTCATCCCACTTTGCTTTTTGGCCATCCAGGTTTCCGTAGCTGTTAAAGGATTCAAAAGTTTTATTTATCTCTTGCTCAGTCATACAAGTACAACTTCCAGTGCAATGTAACCCTGAGTCGCTCCATAGCTTGTTACGTTCAACACAAATAAATCAAGCACTGTTCTATTTACAGACAGATAAACATATCAGGGATATATGTAGTGTTATACTACCAATGTCTTTTGGGGTTTAATTATGATCAATAAGATTTCATGATTCTATATAAATATAGAATATCAACCTGATTGATCTTTGAATGTTTAACCAGAAGAATTAGGATTATTTGTTCATTCAGGGATCGTAAGTACACTTCGTATTAATTCAGACAAAGTCGTCGTCGTCTTCCTCCGCTTATCCGGGTCCGGGTCGCGGGGGCAGCATCCCAACTAGGGAGCTCCAGACCGTCCTCTCCCCGGCCACCTCCACCAGCTCCTCCGGCAGGACCTCAAGGCGTTCCCGGACCAGATTGGAGATGTAACCTCTCCAACATGTCCTGGGTCGACCCGGGGGCCTCCTGCCGGCAGGGCTTGCCTATAATACCTCCCCAGGGAGGTGTCCAGGAGGCATCCTGACCAGATGCCCAAACCACCTCAACTGACTCCTTTCAAACTGGAGGAGCAGCGGTTCTACTCTGAGTCCCTCCCGAATGTCCGAGCTCCTCACCCTACCTCTAAGGCTGAGCCCGGCCACCCTACGGAGGAAACTCATTTCGGCCGCTTGTATCCGCGATCTTGTTCTTTCGGTCATTACCCAAAGCTCATGACCATAGGTGAGGATTGGGACGTAGATCGACCGGTAAATCGAGAGCCTGGCTTTCTGGCTCAGCTCCCTCTTCACCACGACAGATCGGCTCAGCGTCCGCATCACTGCAGATGCTGAACCAATCCGCCTGTCGATCTCCCGATCCCTCCTACCCTCACTCGTGAACAAGACCCTGAGATACTTAAACTCCTCCACTTGAGGTAGGACCTCTCTCCCGACCCGGAGTTGGCAAGCCACCCTTTTCCGGTCGAGAACCATGGTCTCAGATTTGGAAGTGCTGATCCTCTTCCCAGCCGCTTCACACTCGGCTGCGAACCTACCCAGCAAGAGCTGAAGGTCAGAGCTGGATGAAGCTAGGAGGACCACATCATCCGCAAAAAGCAGAGATGAAATTCTCCTGCCAACAAACTCGACACACTCCACACCATGGCTGCGCCTAGAAATTCTGTCCATAAAGGTAATGAACAGAACCGGTGACAAAGGGCAGCCCTGGCGGAGTACAACCCTCACCGGGAACAGGTCCAACTTACTACCGGCTATGCGGACCAAACTTACGCTCCTCTGGTAAAGGGACTGAATGGCCCTTAACAGAAAGCCACCCACCCCATACTCCTGGAGCGTCCCCCACAGGGTGCCGCTGGGGACATGGTCATAAGCCTTCTACAAATCCACAAAACACACGTGGATTGGTTGGGCAAACTCCCATGCCCCCTCCATCACCCTTGCAAGGGTATGGAGCTGGTCCATAGTTCCACGGCCAAGACGAAAACCACATTGCTCCTCCTCAATCTGAGATTCAACTATCGATCGGACCCTCCTCTCCAGTACCTTGGAGTAGACCTTTCCAGGGAGGCTGAGGAGTGTGATCCCCCTATAGTTGGAACACACCCTCAGGTCACCCTTCTTAAAGATGGGGACCACCACCCCGGTCTGCAACTCCACAGGAACTGCCCCCGATGACCACGCAATGTTGCAGAGACATGTCAACCATGACAGCCCTACAACATCCATAGCCTTGAGATACCTAGGACGAACCTCATCCGCCCCCGGTGCTCCACCGCTGTGTAGATGTTTTACTACCTCAGCAACTTCTGCCCCCGAGATTGGACAGTCCATACCCAGGTCTCCCGGCTCTGGTTCCTCCTCGGAATGTGCGTAGGTGGGATTGAGGAGCTTCTCAAAGTATTCCTTCCACTGTCTGACTATAGCCCTAGTTGACGTCAGCAGCTCCCCATCCCCACTGTAAACAGTGTGAGCGAGTTGCTGCCTCCCTCTCCTGAGGCGCCGGACAGTTTGCCAGAACCTCTTTGGAGCCGATCAATAGTCTTTCTCCATGGCCTCACCAAACTCCTCCCATGCCCGAGATTCTGCCTCGGCAACTGCCACTGCTGCACCCCGCTTGGCTATCCGGTACCTGTCTGCTGCCTCCGGAGACCCACAGACCAGCCACGCCCTGTAGGCCTCCTTCTTCAGCCTGACGGCCTCCCGAACCTCTGGCGTCCACCAGCGGGTACGGGGGTTGCCACCACGACTGGCACCAGCTACCTTGCGACCACAGCTAGCAACAGCCGCCTCAACAATCAGAGTGGAACAAGGCCCACTCGGAGTCAATGTCCCCCACTGCTCTCGGGACACGGTCAAAGCTCTGCCGGAGGTGGGAGTTTAAGACCGTCTTGACAGGTTCTTCTGCCCGGCGTTCCCAGCAGACCCTCACTATGCGTTTAGGTCTTCCAGGTCTACGCAGCATCTTCCCCTGCCATCTGATCCAAATCACCACCAGGTGGTGATCAGTTGACAGCTCCGCTCCTCTCTTCACTCGGGTGTCCAAAACATACGGCCGCAGGTCAGATGATACAACTACAAAGTCTCGGCCTGCGACCTAGGCTGGTACCAAGTGTATCGATGGGCATCCTTATGTTTGAACATGGTGTTCGTTATGGCCAAACTGCGGCTTGCACAGAAGTCCAATAACAAAACACCACTCGAGTTCAGATCAGGTGGGCCGTTCCTCCCAATCACCCCCCTCCAGGTCAAGCTGTCAGTGCCCACGTGAGCATTGAAGTCCCCCAGCAGGTCAGTGGAGTCCCCTGATGGAGCACTATCTAGCACTCATCCCAGGGACTCCAAAAAGGGTGGGTACTCTGAACTGATATTTGGCCCATAAGCACAAACAACAGTCAGGACCTGTCCCCCGACCCAAAGGTGCAGGGAAGCTTCCCTCTCGTCCCCCGGGGTAAACCCCAACACACAGGCAGAGAGTCTTGGGGCTAACAAAAAGCCAACCCCAGCCCTCCGCCTCTCTCCCGGAGCAATTCCAGCAAAGGAGAGTGTCCAACCCCTCTCAAGGGCTTGGGTTCCAGAGCCAATGCTATGTGTCGAGGTGAGTCCGACTATATCTAGCCGGTACCGCTCAACCTCTGCCACAAGCTCCTGCTCCTTCCCAGCCAGCGAGGTGACGTTCCATGTCCCAAAAACCAGTTTCCTTGTCCGGGGATCGGACCGCCAAGGCTCCTGCCTCAGTCTGCCACCCGATCCACACTGCACCGGACCCTTCATGTTCCTCCTGCGGGTGGTGGATCCACAGTTGGATGAGCCCATGTATCCGGTTCGGGCTGAGCCCGGCCGGGCCCCATGGGCGAAAGCCCGGCCACCAGGCGCTCGCTCACGGGCCCCAACCCCAGGCCTGGCTCCAGGGTGGGACCCCGGTAACCCTACGGGCCGGGTACTCCGACTCCTTGATAGTTCATCCATGAAAGATCCTCTGAACCGTTCTTTGTCTCACCCTTCACCTAAGACCAATTTGTGCCCCTGGTAGGGTCTCCCATGACAAAGTGCCCCAGACAACATCGCTCCTAGGATTATTAGGGCACTCAAACTCCTCCACCACGATAAGGTGACGGTTCAAGGAGGAGTCAGACAAAGTCAAGTTTATTAAAATAAGAAATTTATTTTCTAAACTAATTTTACAGATGACAACCATGAAAGAACGATGAGTGAATGACTGTTTGTGTTGTAGTGTAATGTGGTGTATGAATATGATGTTTATCAGAACCCTTGTATCTAGAAGAAACTAAGTTCTGAGTGGGATTGAGTTTGGTCTGCTATAAACTAGAAAGTTGGTTATTTATAAAACCACATCAGACGCAATCTTGCTGTGTCTACGTACCCCCTTTCAGCGACCCTCTTTGTGGATCTGGAGGTCAGGGAGGTCGGATGACCTCTAGGCACCAAGGTTCAGTAGATTAACCGCAGTACCGACTACTCCAGCCCAGAGTTGTTACCAGGCACAACAGGTTGGAACTAGTTTGCGTCTAGAACAGCTATTTCTGAATAGCTGAAGGAACGGTTTTGCTGTGTCAGCTTGGACGGCTTGTCAAAGATGCGGTGGTTCAAAGAGTTTTGCTCCTGCTGGCCGGTCCAAAGCTCTGCTCAAGCTGAATCACTCAGGAAGTGATTTCTGTTTTAATAATTGCCATATTATGATTACATGGCCAACCAGAATTTGACATGTTAAGGGGTTTTACCAAACAAACCTCAGAACATCACGCCTTCTTTCAGATAGAAAGTTCTGGTTTGTGGATAAGCTTGAGTTTTTGACAATTAAAATTGCGCCCATATTATTTAAGTTAAACACATCTCTTTTAACAACGGTAGATTCTGCATCTTGCTTCAGCCATCTCCCCCCTCCCTCTGCGTAGCGGCAGCAAACTCACTGATGCGCCTGCAGCCTCTCAGAGTTGCTGCTGCTCTAAACATTAAAATAATTATTTAATTTTCTGTTCCTCACTTTTGATAACCTTCAATGGTGTCTGTTTGTTGCAACCACCAGGTACAAGAACTAACTTGTTTTATCTGACAATTTTTCTGTCCTGTCTGTTTATTGTGTTCCTGCATCTCCTCTCAATCCTAAAGAAAAGCTGCTATTTGGCTTCATATATATTCACCTAATGAATTACCTTTGAACTGCAGTTCTAAAAGATCTACCGACCGCAAAAACAGCGGAGTGTGCGCTGTGCGCCGGCCGCACCGGTGAGGTGCGTCACCGGATGACAATGCAGGTGAAGCGCTCCGCTCCACAGCAGCGAAACGCATCAGGCACAAATAAAAGACAGAAAACATAAAAGGAAATGAGCCGACATGAACGATCTCCTGTTAAATTTGTTTTTGAGGTGGCGACACCTAATTTGATAATGTTACTGTGGCCGTGCTCAGGACGCAGATGTCTGGAGCACGTCAATGATCAGAGTGTTGCATGTGCAAGCTGGTTAAGGTTAGGATGGGGTGAGGGGAAGGTTAAATTGCAAGAGGTTAAAGGTCACAATTCGGTCAAATGTCCGTTTTTTGGTGGGCGTCAGATACTGACGCTCTGGCACAGCGCGTCGTCTTCCAACGCGCAGGAGCTCGTCACCTGCTGTCGTTCCCGATGATTGAATCTTGTCTCATCACGTGACAGCGACTGGTCCATGAAAGTCATAAAAAGTCACTACAGAGCAGTGAAGTTGACTAGTTGATACAACCCCTAATATATATATATATATATATAATGTATGTATATATATATATATATATATAATGTATGTATATATACTGCTAAATTATATTTATATATAACACTCTTGTTTTAACTAAAATGAATGCTCACATAATGATTGAACTGTTCTTACAACTAAACAGGTAAATTTAAACTTTATTATATTTCATTACAGAGTCGTGTGCAGAGTTCACCAGCCAACGGTGAACCAAAGCAGGACTGCAGAGATCTTCATCCCAGGTACAAAATGTCCTTTTTTAAACCTTTAATAACAATATTAACTTTGGAAAATACAGAATGTGTCCTAATAGAGCTTTAAATCCTGAGTCAGTTGGGATTTCATTTAAGTTTGTATTCAGCTGTAGTCATGGACGTCCAAAACGACGTCCATGACTACACCTGTAGTATGTAGTCATGTCGTATTGACACTTTAGATAAAGTGTGCCCTTAGGGGTGTACTCACTTTTCTTGCCAGCCGTTCAGACATTCGCTGCACACTGATTCCACTCTAATGGGCTCGACACACGGGAGGCGACATCGCCTCTCCTCCATTCATTTTCAATGAGACATGCGCGACAAAGCGATAATCGCGGGTCTCTCTCCTACTAAGCGAAACGCGAAAAACGTGCGTGTGAAAGTTTGCACTCGTGCACGTGTCGTGCACGGACGACCCAGCGACGCGATCCCAGAAAGTTGAAACATTTTCAACTTTTCATCGCTGTCGCTCGGACGAGGACCAATCAATGGAGGTTTCATTCACTGACCAATGAGCGGCAGGATGCTCCGCACATCTCCGAGCAAACATGGAGGAGAAGTTGATTATTATTATGTTTTATATGTAAAATCAGAAGTAAGATTTCACATAACTCTAACAGCACCTTGTGAAACATCATATCTACCGCTTTATTAACTCTGAACCGCTTAAATAACCTTAATTCCCTCCAACCTGACACAGCCAAACAAAACAACGGAAGTTTCGATTTCGCCACGGAACAGAACGCGTAGACGGCTTTGCCGCTGGCCGCTACCGCAGATCGCCTCCCGTGTGTCAGGTAATAAAAGCGACAGCGACAAATTTCGCTGATCGCGGTCGTTTGTCGCCTCCCGTGTGTCGAGCCCATAACAGTGTTTTGTGTCTTTATTGATGATATAATAAAATATTTTCAAAAATTAGAGGAGTGTACTCCCTTCTGTGAGCTCCAGTAATAATTCAGGGTTTCAAACTGGGTTTTGTTTTGTTCTGCATCCCATAGTTGCACCGACTAATCTCTCAGATTCTGTTGTAAAAATTATTTTTTCATTAAAAAAAGTTAACACCGTTGACCAAAAATTTTAAAGAACAGATTTCTTTTCTCCGTGATCTCTGATGTTATTTTGTGACGTTTTAACACAGTACTTGGTGCTCTTTCAGATATCTGGATATATGACAACTTAAAGACCCTCATCTCTGGTGCAACAGCAACGGTATTTTTAGTAGGTATAGCTGCTGTAGGACTACTGTTATGCGGGAGCTAATGCAGCTCTGGTGAGTCACAAACAAAAATGTTTATATTATGTGTTTGTTCATTCAAAATGCCTGTACCTGAGTGTTTCTACTGATTAGCCTCGTAAAAGATGACATGTTTTAATCGAGGTCCTTCAGCAGCAGCATCTACAGAGGAAACTTCCTTTAATCCTTCAAAATAAGACTCACAAGAATAAGCTCAAAGCTTAAAAAATAGTTTACTAATAGAATTGACTGGTTAAACACAAACAGCTTGATTTCTCCAATTACTTTTAAAAATAGATGACTGCAAAACATTTTCTGAAAACAGTATGTCACCTGTTTATTTATTTATTTATTTTTGTAACTTTTGAGTTACATTTTAAAAATTAAGTGTTTTTCTTGTGTGGCAGAAATTAGGACAATTTGTTAGCAGATGTCGTGCACAGCAGCACTGACTTTCTCACAAAAACACCGAGATGAATTATCGTTTTGAGCTTGGCATCTACGACAGCGGCAGCAGCAGCAGCTGATTCATATTTACCAAAGCTCTGCTTTTATTGGTGGATGGGGGAGTTCAAAGTTCTTTTTTTTAACAATTCTTATTGGAACATAACATATCACATGACAGCATACGTCATTTCCTCTAACAGTGTTTCCAAAATAAGAGTCTCATGTAAAACATTTAACACATCAGAGCACATATCTCAACACAAATCTGTATGGAAGATCTCAGAGGAAAAGAAAAAATATATTTAAATATAATCAACTAATATAATCAAAAAAGGACTAAACAGTTAAATAAAAAGAATCATAGTAAAGTTTTTTGGGGATTAGTGTTGAAATCACAAAAGTTATACGCATTTTTACCAGAGCTGGGTCATATTACAGTCCAGTGCATCCCTCTGGGATTAATAAAGTATCTTTGATTTGATTTGATTGATTGACATTTAGAAGGTACTTGATGATCTTGTTTTGGCGAGTCAACATGCAGCTGAAGATGGAAAACAATGCACTTCATATTTAGGTTCATAATACATGATTGTTTATTTTTACCATCATTCTGTTCTTTCTCTAAAACACAAACTTCATATGGTTAAAGTTTTCAGCTTGTATGATGCCTAAAATATCCAGAGTTCACGTTTTAAGGAGCCTGCAGACAGGAAAATACACCAGTGGGTGGCAGTGTAGCACAGTTTAGTGATGATCAGGTAAATCACACTTGTCACACAATGACCAATAAAAGCTACCACAATAAATGTTCCGTCCTGAGTCGGACTGAGATGGACTGGCAGCATGTCCAGGGTGCTGGAGATAACCAGCAGTCCCCACGACCCTGCTTGGATAAGCGAGTATAGATAATAGATGGATGGATGTATTTTCTGTTTTACTTCAGACACAAAACACATGTTAGCAGCAACTACTTCTTCCTCTTGACCAAAGGTGAAGAGAACATGGATCAACAGGACTGCTATCAAAGCAGAGAAGAGGTCTGAACTTGGAGTTAGTGAGAACAAACAGTTTTTCCCCCCAGCAGCTTTTATGATTAAAAATAGACCCGTATGGAAAGCCATTGGTGGACGCCGCCACACAGAGCATCTGGAAGTTATAATGAAAAATGGTGTTGCGTTGTAAGCCACCAGTGTGTTTTGCCCTCGTTCTGCCTTCTTTACTTGCCTGTATGACTTTAGGTTCCAGATGTGTGATTCAGAAGAAATGACAAAAGCATAATAGCAAATGTGATCAGATCATGTTAGCAGTGACTGTGCTTGCTTTTGTTTCTGTGATCATTTGAATAAAAAAAAGTCACATTCTTTTAAACTCGGTAAAACCAAAACCAAAAATATTTCCTCCCAACTTTTAAATGTTTTGTGTTCCAACAGTTTTTCTTTGTTTTCCAGAGATGATGACGTTGTCAGACTCAAGTGGTTCATTTATGGCATCTGAAAGTCTGCTGGACCTGTTGAATTTATTGGAGTCCCAGATGGAAGAGGTGGCTGACCTCAAGCTGGAGAACAGAAGGAAAGATCAAATCATCTGTGATCTACAGAAACAGATCTCATCTCAGCAGCTTCTTCCTCTCCTTCAGCTCAACCCGCCAACCATGATGCAGAGCTCCTCCACCTTCTCCCTGGACTCATCCCACCAACCTCTGGTCCCCGACACAGACCCCAGAACCCCTCCTGGTGATCACAAACCTACACAAACTGCTTCCAAACCACAAAAAGCTGTCAAATCCCCCCAAAAGAACAGCCTAAAACATGGGAACCAAAAACAAAACAATCCAAGATCCCAGACACATTTCCGTAACAGCAGCAGCTCTTTGGCTCCTCCAGATTCTCCAGTCAGTGATCAGTCCAACACACGCGACCGCATTCGTTCTGTGAGTGAGTCGCTGTCTCATAACGCTGGCATCTTTCCGCTCGATCGCCCTTCAAGTCTTCCATCATATCGGAACCGTTTCAGTCCTCTGATGGACGCAGGTGGAGAGATGTGATGTGCTTTAGTTTGACTAAATGTGGCATCACATCACTAATGTGTTGGTGAACAAGGTGAAGTGGTTTAAATGATGTGATGTTTTACAGGAAATCGAGCAGTAAGATGGCCTTTATTTGATATAGCTCCATCTAGAGTCCTGGAATCCCCTGTAGCATCATCAAGGTTCTCTAATTTGTGGCAAAGGTCACATTTACCCAGCTGGGTCAAGCTGGGTCAAACAGTACTTTTAAATCCACAGATTAATCAAGGAGCCATGATGTCTGCTCAATATCATATCACCTGTTGGCTGCTGTTCCATCCCAGGAGAAGGACACTTCAAGTTCAGGATGATAATAATTAAATGATAATATTAATAAAATATATTTGATTGTATTACTGTCTACGAAAATCATCATAAATGATCACTTGGTTCAATATAAAGGTATTTTAATTACATGAAATGAATTTATGCTTTGGGTATAATAATGATTAATTATGATTATGGTTGATGACATTAAAAGATGTGTTCAGCAAAGAAGGTCAGTTTTACCTTATCCATCTAACACAGAGTCCAGATAAACGATAACTGCATCACATGTTTTTGACGCATGACCAAGCTCTCTTGCTGAGAGAGTGGGGGTGTCCTGAGAGCTTTGTAAACTGTAACCATCACCAGCTTCAGTTTAGATCTTGAACCAACATCACGGAGGAAGGTAATGGCCGTCCCTAACCTCTCCTGCTGTTCTGTCACGCCAACAAGAATAACTAGGAATAAACGAAACTGTAACCAGCTAACGAAAACTCTACCCAGAGTTATTGATTTCTGAGTTAAGACGAAAAACTCCTTCAGAGTTACGGACTTTGAGACGCCAATAGTTCATCAGTCGTGTGACCCACGGAGACAACCCAGGACTGATTTGGTCGCATAGAGGTCCTTCTACCATCCTCGTGCCCGGAGGAAATCATCTCCACTTGACATCTCGGATTCGAAAGGGGGTCTCCGGAAACTGGGTGAGGTAGACACTAATCGACAGGTGACGTTTGATGCTGTTTTTTAAATAACTCAGCCGCAAAACATCATTTCCATCCAGAACGCTTCTTCTCTCTCTGAAAGAAACCTTCTAATAATTCCATTCACGCATCCAAACTCGTATTTCCAATTTAGCTTCCATCCAGCCACAGGTTTGCCTTTTAAAACAAGTTTAATATCAAAGCTGTTAAAAATCGTATTAAATTGTCATCCATGAATTGTCGTTTCAAATCTGTAAGTTTAAAATTGTTAGTAATAAAATTTCTTCATTTTTAAACTTGCCTCATTGTTGAATTGAAACACAGAAAAGGTATAATATTTCTGGTTATTGAAAGCAAAGATTCCTAGCTTCTGATTCAAAATAACTTTTGCTATTAAATTTAATTATCTAAATTAAACATTAATTCTTGGATTAAAATTAGACCTAACAGGTTGGTGTATGAACTTAGATCGATGTATAAGTATACAAGATATTTATACACGATCTAAGCCTTATAGGTTAATCTGATTGGTCATTTTCAGAATCTAACAACTGATAGCAAACAGTGTTGATTCTAGTGTGTAGTTAACTCTACACCCCCAAGGCTCTTTACTTGCCCAAGGACACAACAGTAGAATTCACAGGAGCCGGGATCGATCCTAGAATGTAGTTGAAGAGTCTAAAGATCTAAATCACATTAGCACGATTTCAGCTCTTGTCTCTTTCAGGCCTTGTTAGCTCTGATCAATCAGCTGATTACATTTTATTTTATATTTCCTTATGGGCTCCCGTAGAAGGAAACATGGCATCGCCCAGAGACTCGGACCCGCTCCCATCGATTTTAGACCTGATTTTTATGGTTATATGTTACAAAGTCAACATTTTGATGGATGTTTACAGAAACTTCTTTTCTCCACAATCAATAATAGTCTCAACTCCAACCCAAACTCAACTCAGAAAACCCCCTCAAACACTCTCTGTGAGGAGTTTGCAGCCCACTTCAGAGGGAAGGTAGACACCATCAGATGTAACATTTTATCCTCTCAACGTAACACGGTTTTAGACACATCTGAGAGTCTACCTGAGGAAACACTGGACAGCTTTGTCCTGGTTGAAGCTGAGAGTCTTGATAAAGTTTTCTCCTCAGTGAGAGCCACCACATGCGTCCTGGACCCTATTCCCACTAGGTTTTTAAACAATTTTATGATTATTTTAGAGATGAGGTTGTAACTATGATGAATTGCTCCCTTCAGACGGGGGTCTTTCCTGCCGCTTTTAAACGGGCGGTGGTGAGGCCCCTGCTGAAGAAGAGCAATTTAGATTTTAATGACAAACAATTATTGACTGGTATCCAACTTACCATTTTTTAAGCAAAATTTTAGACAAGCTTGTTTTAATCCAACTCAGTGATTTTATCAACACCTATAATGTCTTTGAAAATGTTCAGTCTGGTTTTAGGGTGACCCACAGCACCGAGACAGCCCTTCTGAAGATTTAAAATGATTTTAGAGTAAATTATGATAAACGGAAGGTGACTGTGTTGGTTCTACTGGATCTAAGTGCTGCTTTCGATACAGTAGACCACACTATTCTTTTAACTCGTTTGAAACGGATCGGCCTCTCTGGTGCTGTTCACCAATGGTTCACTTCCTACCTCACAGACAGGACTTTTATGGTGAGTTTGGATACCTGTTCCTCTAGTGTTCTTGGGATTACATGTGGTGTGCCCCAGGGTTCAGTTTTAGGCCCAGTGCTTTTTAACCTTCACATGCTCCCTCTTGGCAGTGTCATCAGGAGACACGGGGTGAATTTCCACAGTTACACTGATGATACACAGCTGTACATCTCTGTGTCTCCTGATGACACACGGACAATGGATGCACTTTTTAATTGCATTTTTGACATCAAATCCTGGATTTGGTGAGCCACAAGTGAAGGACCTGGGTGTCATCTTTGACTCTGAGCTGACTTTTATCCATCATATTAAAAATATCACCAAAATAGGTTTTTATCATCTAAAGAACATCGCCAGAGTCTGCCCCATTCTCTCTCGGGCCAATACGGAGACGCTGATGCATGCTTTTATCACCAGTAGGACAGACTACTGCAATGCCCTGCTTTCTGGTCTTCCTAAAAAGAGGATTTCAGGTTTACAACTATTACATAACTCAGCAGCACGTGTCCTGACGAAGACCAGGAGGCGGGAGCACATCACTCCAGTTTTAGAATCACTGCATTGGCTCCCCGTATGTTTCAGGATCGATTTCAAAATACTTTTAACGGTTTTTAAGGTCTTGGGCCTTCTTGTCTTTCGGAACTGCTTTTACCGTATGAACCCACGCGGTCTCTGCGCTCCTCTGGCAGCCGTCTCCTTGTCATCCCTAAAGTCAGGACGCATATTCACGGCGAGGCGTCCTTCCAGTACTACGGTCCTCGCATCTGGAACGAGCTGCCAGGGGACCTCAGAGCTGCTGAGAACGTTCATGTTTTTAGAAACAGGCTCAAGACCCATCTTTATAGCTTAGCTTTTAACTGAATACTATCATTTTTTAAATTAATTAATTAATTACTTAGTTTATTTATTTATTTGATCTATTTATTTTATTTATTTAATGTATTCTTTCTTTATACTTGCTTTTTAAACAGTTTTTTACCATGATTTATGATCAACATTATTTTAATATCTATTTAACTTTTTATATTACAATTCTCATTTTAGCTCTTTGGATTTTATATTTCAACCTTAATTTAGCCTTTTTCCAGTGCTTACTCTGTGGGAGCCCTCTGCCCCGGCGGCGGTGGTCGGCTGTGGCGGTCTGGGTGCATTCCAGGTGTGCCTAGGTGGGGGACTCTGTCCTCCCTGCCCTGGGCGCCCTGTGTCAGTGCCTCGGCTGCTGCTGTGGATCTGCTGCTGTCGGAGTGGATGGCTCCCCTGATGGCGTTTCCTTATCATATCTTAGCTGCTCCGGCTCATCTGATCTCAGCCAATCGTGTTTTTTTTTTTCTTTTTTACCATGGGGAAGGGGGCAAGTATGTATGGGTGTTTGCGTGTGTGTGTGTGTGTGTGTGTGTGTGTGTGTGTGTGTGTGTGTGTGTGTGTGTGTGTGTGTGTGTGTGTGTGTGTGCGTCGGTGGAGGAGTGTTGTGAAGGGGTTTTCATTGTCAGACTGTTTTTAAAATTCTGGGGATGGGAGGGAATGTGGGGTCTTTTTAATTTGTTAAGCACTTTGAGTTGCATGTATTGCAAGATTAAGTGCTATATAAATAAAGTTGATTGATTGATTGATTGATTGATTGATTGATTTATAGCAGTCTGAGCCAGTATCCAGAAGAGCATTGCAGGGGTGCACCTACTGCAATGTCACAGATATCATGGTTACCAGCTCTCCCCTGAGGCAGGAGGTGTCCCAAGAACAGTTCATCAGGCTCGACACCCGGGGGCACCGGGCCACTGTCCATGGCGGATGAATTTATCATCAGTGTGAATGCAGGATCAGATATTCGGTCTGTTTCCTGCAGGTGAGAGTCAATCTGTTCATCTGGTTGCAGCT